TATTTACTAAAAATGGGGGCGGGGGTTGGGGGGAGGGGGACCAGAGCCCCCCTACCCCAATGGGTAGCTCCGCCCCTGTGTGAATAGACATGAGTATTTTCGTCTCTTCAATTTATTTATTTTTCAGTTTTCTTTCGCCAATTTTTTTTCGTCTCTTCAGTCGCGGATTACACCATCTCCTTCACCCAGCTATTGTCTTCATTTCCTTCACCCCAACCCCAAATCGTCCTTCGTCAATGATGATACCGAGTACGTGAGGACATCCGGGTGCGAGTGAATCATTTTACAACAATTGGAAAGCTTAGGATGTCGTCACCCGGTTGGCTTTAATGTGACCGCTATTGTTTTATTAGTCCATGATTTTGTGAATATCTCCTATAGTTGTAAAGCAGAAAAAGAAAAGAAAAAAAAAAAAGACAAGCCTCTTATATGTCATTGGAAAATACAATTTCCTAAAATAGGGTTTCACCAGAAAGGTGTTAAATAGCAAAAACGATGGTCTATGACTAAATTTGAAAATGTCACAAAGGACAAGAGACCTCCGTTGGATTAACTCATTGAGAAAATAATAAAAAATATTGAAGAGACAAAAATACCATTGTCTAAAATAGGGTTTCACAGGAAAAGTTATCGGAAGAACCAAAAATGTCCAAAATATGATAATCTGAGGTGTTAAATAACAAAAACGATAATCTATGACTAAATTTAGAATTGCCACCAAAGACAAAGGACCTCCGCTGAAATTAACTCAATTAAGATATGAGTATAAATAAAAGAATAGGCTAAAGGCTTAAACCAAGAAATAGCAAAGAATTGAGATCTTGAACTAGGAAGAGAAAAAAAAAATGAAGGGAAGAGTGTGGCATCCATTATTGAAAGGAGGAAGGGGGAGAGAAAAAGGCTATAGCCATGGCTTGTCTTCTTCTCAGATTGAAGCATTATCTTCTATCTGTGAAGCTCTCATTCCTCCTCTTCCACCTCCTGACCATGATGAGAAGAACTCTGAAGCAATTCGTCTCTTCTTTGCTACTTCTGCTTCCCAGTCACCATTGCCTGATGAGGTAATAACTATATATTTTTCCAAGATTTTTATTGTAAAGTTTCCTTTTAGTCCATTTCTTTTTAGGGAATATTTGTGGTGGTATGTAGACTGCAGAGATGTTGGTGAAGAACTGCTTACCTGAAGCAGTGTTGGTGCTGAGATTAGTTCTGATCATGTTGTCAACAAGATTGGGGAGTCTTATGCTTTGTGGGCATGTTTGCTTTGATGGAAGATGGCCATTCATTCTCAAGTTCTCAGAATTAGGCTTGCACCAAAGAGAAGCCATTCTCCAGAAATGGTCAAGGGAAACTCTTCTTCTTCCCCTCAGAGTTGCCTTCTTGTTGATTAAAATGGCATGCTTTTACACATTTCTATCTTGGGTAACTTACCTCTGTCCAATCACCACTTTCTTGAATTCTCATCTTTCTTTGGAAAAAGGGTCAAATTGGCCTCTAAATCAAACGGATAGTGCAATTGAGACACCTAAGTGAAAAAAAAACTTCATTTAAATTTTCTAAATCGGTTAAAAAGTTTAATTAAGTCTAAAATTACCTGTTTCACAGGTTAATGCTGTATAATGTTGACATGTGTATCGGTATTTTAATTTTTATTTTTTTGTACTTTTTTCTTTTTTGCTCTCTTTTTTATTAATTTTTTTTTTTTAATTTCTTCATACAATCCTACAACCACCGGTTGTAAACACCGATGGATGTCCTCAGACCTCATTCAAGGACAGTCGTGGGTGTAGTCGGATAGCCACGGTTGTCCTTGAATAAAGACAGCCATGGATGTCTAAAAAATTAAATTTTGTTTGACGACTATGGCCGTCTTTTAGGATAGTCAGATAGCCATGACCGTCATTTTTTACAGCCGTGGCTGTCGTCAAACAACCATGACTATGCTTGAAAAAAGACAGCCAAGGTTTTCTGGTGAGGCAGCCAAGGCTATCAAAAAAAAATAAATTAAACAAGCCATGACCGTCTTTTATAACAGTCGTGGCTGCCGGAGAGCCACGTCCGTCATTTTTTACAGTCGTATTATTATCGGACAGTCACGGTTGTGCTTGAATGAAGACATCCACGATTGTAAAAAAAAAAAAAATTGAATTTGTTTTAGACAATCGTCTCAAATGGCCATGGACGTCTTTTAAGACAATTGTGGTTGTTGGAGAGCCACGACCATCATTTTTTACAGTTTTGATTGTCGTCGGACAACCACGACTATGCTTGAGTGAAGACAACCATGGCTGTCCAAAAGAAAAAAATGAAATTTTTTTTAGACGGCCATGACCGTCTTTTAAGACAGTCGTGGCTGTCAAATAGCCACAGTCGTCATTTTTTACCGCTGTTTGCCAGACAGCCATGGTTGTCCTTGAATGAGGACAGCCAACGACTGTTTTACCATCGGTGGTTGAATTAAAATAAATAAATAAATAATAACAACAATAATAAAGAGAGAGAAAAAGATAAACAAAAAATTAAAAAGAGAGCCATTTCAGCATTAGAAAGCACTAACCTCTCGAACAAGTAATTTTAGACTTAATTGAATATTTTAACCGATTTAGGAGATCTAAATGGAGTTGTTTTCACTCAGGGCTATTCTTTTGACTTAGGGGCTAATTTGATCATTTTTCCTTCTTTTAATCTAGGTAAATGGGTCTAAAATAGACCATTGAAATTTACATGAAAATGTAATTAATCTCCTAAAATTTTGAAAAGTGCAAGTAAACACTTAAACTTTTCATTTTGGTACATTTAAACCCAATAGTCGTGGAATAACTTATTATTAGGATTCTATCAACAATTTTGGTGACCAGAAAATTGTCGCCGGTTGCTGCCGCCATTGTCATTGAAGAATCCAATCATCTTCTCTAGTAGGGAAAGCGTCGATCGTCACCGGTCTTTTTTCAATTTTCTTTTTTCTTTGTAATGGTGTGATTTAGCGGCAGTAAACAAGCGGTTAACAGTGGTCAACAACGATGAACAATGGTAATATTAGGTTACCAGTAAACATGACATATTTGACCCATTTTGACAAGTTTGACACCTTTTTAATGTTAGAAGGCTTAACTGAAGTCTCTGGTAAAGTTGAAGGTCACATTTGACCATTTTCCCATTAATCTAATTTTTGTAAATTTTGGTAGACCGATGAAAGTTGTAACAATCCGGCATGGGAAGCAATTGGGTACCATGTAGATACCAAACAAGTCCAAGTCCAAGTCCAGAGGGAAAGACCACTTGAAAAGGGTATTATTGAGACTGCATACCAAACTGATGCTAGCCTGAAGGAATCCCTGATCAAGAAAGGCCTAAATGTGGCCGAGGATCCAAAGGAAGACATCCTCAGAATCAAATGTGATGTTGTGGTTGTTGGTTCTGGTTGTGGCGGAGGAGTAGCGGCGGCAGTCCTGGCAAACTCAGGCCACAAGGTGGTGGTGCTGGAGAAAGGCCACTACTTCGTGGCTGAGGATTATTCGGGCCTCGAGGGACCTTCGATGAATGAAATGTATGAATCAGGTGGAATGTTAACGAGCACAGATGGGAAAGTTGTAATCATGGCTGGAACGACGGTTGGTGGCGGTTCTGCTATAAATTGGTCAGCCTCCATTCGGACTCCCAGTGGTGTCCTCGAGGAGTGGTGTTCGGAGCATAAGATTCCAATGTTTGGGAGCACAGAATATGAATCAGCCATGGATGCTGTGTGTAAAAGGATTGGTGTCACTGAGCATTGCCCCAAGGAAGGCCTTCAGAATCGAGTTTTAAGAAAAGGGTGCGAAAGCCTTGGCTTGAAGGTTGAGACAATTCCAAGAAATTGTTCGGAGAATCATTACTGTGGGTCTTGTGGTTATGGCTGCAAAACAGGCGACAAAAAGGGGACTGATTCGACTTGGCTTGTCGATGCTGTTAACAAGGGCGCGGTTATCTTGACAGGCTGCAAAGCGGAGAAGTTTATAGTAGAAGACGGGAGAGGGGGAGAGATGAGAAGAAGAAGAAGATGCTTGGGAGTGAAAGCCACTAGTGAAAGCAAAAACATCAGAAAGAAGCTTTATATCGAGGCTAAGGCCACAGTTTCAGCTTGTGGGTCTCTAATGACACCGCCTTTGTTGATTTCGAGTGGGCTGAAGAACAGAAACATCGGGAACAACCTCCATCTGCACCCCGTTCTTCTTGCATGGGGATACTTCCCGGAATCCCTGTCAGGACTCGAAGGCAAAAACCACGAGGGAGGAATACTAACCTCTCTCCACAAGGTAGAAGATGGAACCCCCAAAGTAAAAGCCATTGTAGAAGCAGCAGCCTTGGGTCCCGGTTCATTTGCAGGCGTGTTCCCATGGACTTCAGGCCGTGAAATGAAGGAATATATGAGGAAGTACTCGAGAACAGTGAACTTACTTTCACTGGTGAGAGACGAGGGGTGCGGGGAAGTGAAGAAGGCAGGGCGGATCAAGTACGAACTGAGCATTACAGACACAGAGAATCTGAAAGTCGGTTTAAGAAGAGTGTTGAGGATATTGGCCGCGGCTGGGGCAAGTGAAGTAGGCACATACCGGAGCGACGGGCAGAAAGTGAGCTGCAAAGGAATGAAGAACGAGGATTTCGAGGAGTTTCTGGGCACAGTATGTGCAGAAGGAGGTCCAAGCAGTGGAAAACAAGTGTGGAGCATGTACTGTTCAGCACACCAGATGGGTAGCTGCAGAATGGGGGCTAGTGAGGAAGACGGGGCGGTTGACGAGAACGGTGAGTGTTGGGAAGCAAAGGGACTGTATGTGTGTGATGGGAGTGTGCTTCCTAGTGCAGTTGGTGTGAATCCAATGGTCACTATTCTATCAACTGCATATTGCATCTCAAGCAGGATCTCAGACAGGCTTAATAACGAAAAGAGCCGTTAGAGTTTAAAGACTTAATAAGTACTATTATTATTATTATTGCAAGAATAAGAACTTGGCAATTGTATCGTATGTTGAAGAATATATGCTATCAAAAACCAAAAAGTTCGACTAACAGATCGCTTTGACGGCTTTCTCAGCAGCATCATCCAGATCTTCTGCTGTAATTAACGCCATACCACTTTCCTGCATATGCAAGGGGATAAAGTGATGGCTTGTTTTTTCACAGGTGAAATTTTAGTATTTCTGTTAGGACTTTACCTTGAGAATTCGCTTTCCTTGCTCAACATTCGTCCCTTCAAGCCGAACCACCACTGGCACTTTCAAATCAACCTTTGACAATAAAACCCGTCAATAATAGTCGTGACACGTGAGTTGAATCATAATGAGTAACCATGAAGAAATATAAATGAGTTTTACCTGTTTGGCAGCATTCACGATTCCACTGGCTATCACATCGCACTTCATGATTCCTCCAAAAATGTTTACCAGAATTGCTTTCACCTTCTCATCTGATGTTAGAATTTTAAAAGCCTCCACAACCTACACACCACATAATGCAATAGCTTTTCTTTAAGGCATCTCAACAACACTTAACCTTACCAGAAACTATAAACAGCCTAAATACCTGCCCTTCAGAGGCGTTCCCACCAACATCAAGAAAATTAGCAGGAGTTCCTCCATGCAGCTTAATTATGTCCATGGTAGCCATAGCCAATCCAGCACCATTCACCATGCAACCGATTTCTCCGTCCAAGCCAATGTAATTCAAGTCAGCTTTTGCAGCAGCAACCTATTAGGAGCTAAATAAACCCATTAGATATAAGGAAAAAGGCATTAAAAAAAATAGATAGACTGGTGCGAATGAATGAATGAATGAAAAGTAAAAGACTCTTTGCATGCCTCACGGGGATCCTCCTGTGTTGGATCACGAAGGGCAAAGATGTCTTTCTGACGGTAAGCAGCATTGTCATCAAAATTCATTTTGGCATCAGCAGCTATTAACTTATTATCAGAAGTTTCTGCAAGGGGATTGATCTGCTCAATAGAGTGAGTTTCAAGGGTTAGTAAGAGAAAAGAGGGGTGGGGGTGGGGAATGCTTTTCAAGTTAGAAATCTACTCTGTGGCAGTTCGTTAGATCATGAGCAAAAGATGTGAAATGGTTACCTCCAATAATGTGCAGTCAGATTTACAGAAAAGGCTATATAACTTTTTCACTTGTTCAATTGAATCTTGTCTGTTGGCCACCATCGGAGCCAAACCATCAACAACCTTTGCAGCATCTTCATCAGTAATACCTTTAAAAACATCAATAGGCACCTGGTAGGAAAAAATAAAGAAGCTTTAATTAGTCAGCAGCATTAGCTTAAATACAAAGCTGCATCGATAAATAAAACAAATAAGATCGGAAAGAACCTTAGTAATCATGTCAGGGAACTTTTCTGCCAGATCTTCAATACTGGTTCCTCCTTTCCTGCAGGCAATGATAAGCTGCAGAAAAGAAAGCAACATGAATTCCAGCCTCTTTAGAAAATAGCCACAATCAAATCTCTCTATAAGTGAATCTCTTCATGGAATCGTTGTTGACTTACAGGACCAGCACTTGCACGATCAAGAATAATGGAGAAATACATCTCATTGACTAATGAAAGCTTTTCAGCAAGATAAACCTGCAATTAATCACAAATTGACAAAGTCAGATCCTTGAATTGCATTTGGCTCCCAAAGACAATCTCCAACTTCAATTTCAATTCAGGCACCAATTCTGAAGTTGCACTCCAAAGGCATATTCCTAGAGAAGAAAACATACTCAATACAAGTACCATAAAGATAGCAGAAAAAAGTCAAACCTTGCTGACGATTTTCCCTTCGGGTCCAGTTTGTTTAGTAACAAGTATCTGTCCAAGCATCTTCTCTGAAACCAATTGATTAACAATGGTAAATTCCAGACGTAGCATAAAACCCGAATGGAAATAGCAACAATTAATGAAACAAATAGCATGGATTATTATAATCTCTCCGGAACACATTCTCAGAGATTATCAAACATATTGCAACAAATATTTGTGCTTTGAAACATTCAGAATAAGGAACTAATATCATTGAACTTTTCCCTTCCCTTGAAACAACCCAACAATGTCAAATGAATACTTGTGGGAAAAAAAGGAAAGAGAAGAGGAAAAAAATAAAACTGGAAGCTGAAGTATGAAGGTTTTACATTTCTGCATAGCAGTATATAGCATTCATCACCCACATTGCTAAGTTATTGGCAAATTTGGTAATTTTGGAAAATTGTGCTGTCCAAGAACTTGAAAACACAGGGAGCCATCGAAAGTGGAAAAATGGGTGTCGTATATACTCTAGGCTTCTACTACTAAAATTCAAAATTAAGCCACATACCAAGTAATGCTGAACTTATCTGGGAACTTCATTTCCACCCAAAATTGTGACTATGATCAGTTTTGAAACAAGAAATGAAGTTTAGTAGTAGAAGCACATATTACTTGATAGAAAATGGCCTTTTCATACCAGTTATTTCTTCTGCTCGAGTAGCATAGGCAATATGGACTCC